TCAAAAAAAAAAATAAATAAATAAAACTCAAATAAATAAACTTATCTTTACACTATTTAAAAATTAAAAAAAAACCATTTAAAATAATAAAACTTAAACAATTAAATTTGAAACATGGCTCAAGCTCTTTTATTATTCTAAAATCAACTAAAATATATTAAAAAGCTATTTTTTATATAAAAATATAAAAATAAATACAATTTTAATATTTAAAAAAAAAGTAAAACTTAAATAGCTAAACTTGGAACATAGCCCAAACCTTTACACTTGTTAAATAAAATAAAATAAACAAATTGGGTATTAATTTTTAAAATCCATCTATTACTTTAAAAAAATATGGCGGTTCTATAGAAAGTTCGATTTTAACCCCATTGTCTGAACGGCATTCTATTGAGCCAGAACGGAGTTGATAGAACCGATTTTCTTCGTATAAAATCGGGCGTCACTTTTGGGATAACTGTTAATGGAAATTTCAATTGTCGAAATGGAATTCTTCACAAGTGAAGAATTTCAATGGAGTATCGTCGCCGCAGTGAAATCGCATAGCAAATACGGAGGCGTGGAATAACACTACAATTAATAAGTATCGTGCGAAGGAAATGGTAAAGCACATAACACATAGGTTATTTTCCAAAGCGGTAAAAATAAGATTCTTTCTTTGTCATACTGTACATTGGGTTACATGGTAAATTTACACATTTTGGTATTTGTCACAGTTCAATTTTTTTAGTTAGGGTGAAAATCATCACTTTAGAATTTATTTGGCCAGGTATGCGCGCGACTTTCATCCCTCAGAATTCTAAGTCAAAATCAGGCATAAAAAATTCTATCAGATCTCAGGTCAAAAAGAAGCTGAAAAAGCTAGCCATATTTCGTGCGACACTCTATCAAGTCCTCTGTGACCATAATCCAAACATAATTACACTGGAAGAAGACTTTGTCGAATACCTCGCGGAACAAATTTTAGACTTGGGAGTTCTTGACGAAAACAAAGAGATTGAGAGTGTAGATGAAGATGAAAGAAACGCCAGTTCAACATTATCCGAACAGGAAATTATCTCGCGAATTTTTGAGATAGTTAAAGATGATTTTATCACATTCGAAGTTTGCAATGATGAAAACGAGTGCCTGAAAATTTGCAAGGATGTGGTCGTCAAATGGAAGTCCATAAATAATCTTTCCGTGTCCACAACTTCATTAGTCTCCCAAGATGAAGAGGATGAGGACGAGGAACTCGAAGAAAACGAGGAAGAAGAGGAACACGAGCCTGGAACCTGTGCTTTATGCCATCGCCATATGCCACTGACATTTCATCATCTCATCCCCAGAGTGATGCACAAGAGAGTTCTTAAGAAAGGGCTGTTTACCAAAGAAGAATGTACAACCAGAGGCATCGATATTTGCAGGCCTTGTCATAGCGCCATACATAAGATGATTTCGAATGATCAGTTGGCATTGAGGTATAATACTTTGGAAATGTTGTTGGAACATGAGGGGGTTGTGAAGTTCATTGGATGGGCTTCCAAACAAAAGGAATATTCAAAGGATCATACAAGAAACCGGCTGAGGTTTCATCATTAGTTTCATGTGATAATTTGCTTAGCCTCGTGTATAATAATTTTTGTGAGAATTATTTATTGATTAATTGAGTAAATGCTGAATTAAATCTCAAGTAATTTGGTGCAAACAAATAATCTGCACGTATCGAATTAATTACATTAATGCATTAACATAACCATTTTAGTAATAAATTATTTGATATGTTAACGGTAACTTTGGTCATTCATCCAACATTAACCACCTCGTCCCTTAAACCAACTCTTTTCAAGCAATTCTCAACCTCTAAATTCCAATCGGTCATCGAAACGGCCGCAAATATTCCAATGCCCATGTTTAGAGAAGCGCAGGTGACACTCCACCAAAGTCCTTCTAACCCCAAGTTGAATACAAATGTCAATGCAATACCTAACGGAAAGGCAATGAGGTAATAAGCGGATAGATAGATCATTGCCACTATCTTTTGACGTCCTTGTCCGCGAAGGACACCGCTACCTATCGCCCCTACTCCATCCGAAAGCTTTAAATTAGAATTTCACATTGCACAGAACGCGGTGGTGTTAGAGGTCGATCAGATAAACCGACATTATGCGCACGGAATCAATTGGGTACCTGAAACAAGGCGGCCAACGGTAATATTTTTGCTACCAATTTCACAACCTCCTCGTCATTCGAGAACAAGTATCTGACAAGAAGATAGAGGAAAATAAGTCGCGTGAGATGTAGAAAGAAAAAAAAAAAGTGAAATAACCTACCCCCAAGAATCCTTGAAGAAAAGTAATGAAATTGCATTGCAGGCGGCTCCTATGACAGCAATGATGAAAGCCACGTTCGTGGCAATCTTTGCGCGATTTGGCAATCCAGCTCCCAACAGATTGCCGACCCTGTTCGATGATGCTACTGCCACACTGCGAGGCAACTGAAACATCAGCAATGAAATCGTGAGAATTAATCGGTGAGCCGCAAGTGGCACTCCTCCGAGAAAGCCAGCCGCCAATGCAATTATTTCATAAATCCACCAATCAGCACATGATGTAAGTATACCAGGGATAGCAAGTTTTCCAAAAGATGACCAATCTTCGAAACTCGAACGCGACCATCCTTGCCATGATTCGTGACCATCAATATACTTTATGTATACGATAGTGAAGATAAGCATTAGCCAGTTTGTTATCGAAGTTGCTATTGGAGCACCTATGAAGCCGAGCGCCATTGGCTCCCACCAAACAAGCGCGTAATTTAGAATCAAGCTCGCAGGACAACAAATTATTAGAACTTGTGTTGTAGCCTTCATTATACCTAATCAAGGCATGGCGCGTGAATGGAGACGGCCATTTACGAGAGAATTCACAATTTCGGTTGCAAGTATCTGACCTTGTCCTTGTAAGAATTTTTCTAAACACCAGAAAATTAGACAAGGAGGGGCACCCCACAGCAGATAACGCAAATATAATGCAGCCAATTTTGATAACTCCTCTTCTTGACCTAAAGAAATTAAAATATCTTCGGCCACCCACCACATTATTCCAATTGGTATGAATTCCATCATCATAATTAATATGGAGCGTTGTGTATATACACCAACCATCTTCGGGTTCCCGGATGTATAACCCTGCGGACAAAGCGTATCCAACGCCGTGGCAGTTCCATAACCGATTGACCAACACGTAATTGATGCATACTGGTAAGAGGTTGGGCGTAATTCAAATGGGTTTGGTCATGTGAGTTAGCACAAAAATATTTGCGGTGGCTTGTTATAAAAAAAAAAAAATTGCAAACATTATAAATTGTGGCTTCAGTTTACCATTGAACCCAGTGTTAGAGCTGCCAGCTCAATCGATCCCTTTGTTTAATTGATTACGTAACAATAAGTATCCGCAAAGAACATTTCTTGTGACTTCAAGAGTTTCTTGTCCTACCAAACGTCCTAGGGTAAACACGCTCGCAACTTGTAAAAGGTATTGCAACAAAAATGCCAAGAGAGCCGGCGCAGCTTTTTTGAGAAGGAACAAGGCTTCTCTGAAGTCAAACCTATCTCCGCTGATACTATCGTTTAGAGGGATGACGGCGCCCACAGAAAAGTTATTGTTGGGGAGTAAAATTGTCGCTTCGTCAATATTTTGAATATCTTGCTCAAATTCACGATGCAAATGCGGCAATTTTGCTGACATTGTTTGTAGTATTGGTAATCGATATCCTTTTTAATAAAAAAAAAATTTTTTTTCTGATTGTGCCTTTCTGGCGCTGGATATGTAGTTGAAGATGGTGGGAATGAAGTTACTCAACGATACACCATCCTGAAACCAATTTGATAGGCATTTCACGTTGCACCAATCAATCGCTATTTGGATATTCACGAGGTTCACTACGTTACACCCCTGCTGCAATACCAAACATGTATAAAAAAATGAAACGGGATTCATTCATGCTGTTACACTTATTAATATTAGTGGAATGGGCTAAATTTGATATGTGAGTGGACCTCGGGGCGCTAAAAGATCGAACCTCACAGACAACAGGTCATCCATCATCTTTCCAAGATTCTTTTCGCAGCTATAGATTTTTTCCTTTAAAAAAAAAAAAAAATAAAACTACCTTTCGCAAAACCAATAGAGATCTAAGGGAAAATGAATTTTTAAAAGGACACGCCGTCGCCGTATAATTAATTCCATTCCACTTCTTTTCTCTAAAACTTTGTGACCAAGCCACCGATAGTCGATACTAATTTTGTTTTATAGTGCGCTTGTACGAGGTACATGAATAATTTGTACTTGTTTTATCTTGCTTTTCCATAATTTCACATTCTTTACGTCATTGCGATGGCTGAAGATTATTATTCACAAGGAAAGTCGGGTAATTTTGACCTTAACAGCGTTCAATATCAGTGTGGTTCGTCGTCGTCAATGAAAAGTGCACCTCATCTACCTCCTGAAACTCTTTACGAAATATTTAATTATGTCAGCGATCGTGATGCGAGAAAACTGCATTCGTGTCTTCTTGTCAATAGGCTCTGGTGTTTCAGCGCGGCCCAGATAATGTGGAAGGGACCGTTTGAGATAGCCTCAGTGATGAATTCCGCCAAATTGATAGCAACATATTTCCTATTCTTCTCTGAAAAAACCAGAGACCGTCTTAGGAATTCACATAACGTCGATGTATTACCAGCCTCACCGTATCGACAACCTTTCATAAATTACGTGTTGTTCTTAAGGCACATCGACTTTCGAAAGATTTATCGAGCGGTGCGCATTTGGATCCGGTCCAAGTCATTGGACGAACCTTTTGATCTGGCGGTGAAGAACAGACAAACTGAACAAGCGAATTGTATCATAGAAGAACTTGGGAAACTCTTCACCAACGGATCTGCCCGAATTGACACCCTGTCACTTGATGTCAGACGTTTTGAACACGATGTGGATAACGACAGAATCGAGTTCATGTCTTGGCCCTGTTATTCTGAACAATACAATTCCTTACGTGAACTTCGGGAGTTCGTATGTGGCGGAAAATTTTCAAAGGATAAAATAATACTTAAATTGACGGGACTTTGCAAAGAACTCGAGTCGGTTGCCCTTGAGGATTCAGCTGAAACTGCACCAAAATTCTTGGCTGATTTTATTGGGAATCAAAGAAGGCTACGAAAACTTACATTAGCAAATTGGAAAAGTGATCTGAGCCTTTTATATATTTCTACGCTCGCAAAAACTCTTCGACATATTGAATTCATTAAATGTGAATTTCCCAAATCCGATGGTAGCGAATGTTGCTTTGACAGATTGGCTCAATGTTGCAATTTGGAGATTTTGAGGTTTGAACAATGCAAGAATCTAGGCGCCAAGATAACGAGACCTTTGACGCAAGTTGAATTCAAGTATCTACACACATTGTGCATCGACAACGACCCAGGTCCAGATCCGCCAACCAATGAGATTCAATCCCTAATAGTGAATTCCAAAGGCTCTCTCAAGGAGATTACTCTTAACGTCAAACTGTCGTTGTACTCTGATATACTTGACACCATATCGGCTCATTGTCCAAAACTTTTAAAATTAAGTATTGTCATAGAGAATGACTTCGAGATGCGACAGCTTATCACCTTGTTTCGTCATTGTAACCAACTGTTGGAATTGATAATCCCAAGAAAATGGACTTTGATAGAAATGAAGAAACCACTGATAGAGTTGGGAGCCGTAATACCGCCAACCTTAAAAAGATTAGAATTATGCGGGATTAGATTCGAGCACGCCACGTGGTCGGAATTTTTGAAACTTTGTCCCGGATCTATAAACTCCTTTGTGTTCAATTGCTTTAGACAGAAATCGTATATAACGTCTGTGGCGAGATACGCAAAGAAGCATGGCAAGAGTGTGAAGTCTGAAAGCAGCGTGGAAATGTCTTGGCTGCCGGAACTTGTTTCTATGGAGCTGGGATGATCACTTTCTTCAGTTGAATCCATCTTTGTCGAATAAAGTATTTTCGATTTACTGTTGACCAGATACAACTTGTAATTTTGCGAACACTGTAATGATCCTTTGTCGAGACCAAAACATGTTTTAATGTAATTATCTCACATAACCCCTAGAAAAATCATCGATTATAAATTTAGAATTTTATTATTTATTCCAAAAATATTCTTATTGATATTTTATTATTTTATCACCAGCCCTCAAATTTTGGTATCTTTATTTAACTACTAATAGGTGCCCTCCTAATTGAAGTTCGAACTTTCTGGTTCTTGGACTATACTTATATTACATTATATTTTTAGTATACTATCTAATATGCTCCCTCTTCCCTGCAGTTTCCTCATGTACCATAGCTATTCCGAAAATCAAAACACCTACGTTAAAAATATTCGAACATTCCAAAAAAAAAAACAACTAAACATTTCATTCCAAAACAAAAAAAAAAAAAATTTTTTTATATAAAAAAAAAGATCCTTGAACATTCGTATAGTATGTTGTAGGAATTATTCGCAAGAACTTTATATTAATGTTTCTAACGCTTTCAAAGCTAATAAATAAATTATTAACTGCGATATCCAAATTTTCTATGGTAACGCGTGCATTTCGCGTTACCTAATGAACAATATACAAATTTAAATTGAAAAGGTGATCAATAATAACCTGTTGATTTTGTTGATGCATCGCTCTGGCAGGAAACAATTTGTTACACGACAATAACAATCCTTTTACAGGAATACTAGCTGATCGTAAGACAAGTACAATGTTTTTAACATTTGTCACAATTGGGTAAAAATATTTGGATCGATATTTTTCGCGATGGTGATGTACTACAGTGTTTGTGTCACGTGCTTTTATAAATAAATCAAATTATTCAATAATCAATTTACAGTATAATAATAGCATATTGTATAGGAATATGAATTATCACAATATTATTTCTAAGCCAGTTGAAATGCTTGAATTGATTTCAAATGTTCATCCAAATATTTCAATAAATCTTTAAACTATAAGTAATTATAATTAATATTATAATTATTTGATATTTCTTTAAAATATCAACTGTAATCATATATATTTATTACATTTATTATTCTTTTAATAAGATTTCCTGAATCAAAAATTTTAAAAAAAAACTCTTTCCGCTGATCCTAAATTTCCTTAAAAAATTTCCTTTTTCGGTAATTTTCTTGGAAAACTCAG